AATATTCCTATAAACTATAGAGTGCCAACTCACACTTTATTGAGCTGCTAAGAGCTCTGCTGTTATTTGCCTGGATGGTACAATCCCCATTTGTGGATATATGCAGCTTTGTAATACTTGTTGTGACGAGAGCAATCTCGCCACATTACATTGGAGAAGCCTGGTTGCTCGCCTGTTGCCTTTGGATGATGGCCCCATGTTAAAAGGCTTGATTTTCCCCTGCAAAGACAAGAAAGCCGGGTCATATGGTGCTTGCCCTGTTTGAGCAGTGATACCCCAGATAGCTATGCCATGGAGCCCATTCGTATAATGAAAGACTATGAGAAAGACTTTGGCTCCATGGCAATTGAACTGTATGTGTGTGCTCTGAGTGCCATTCAGTAATAATGTGCGCTCAGACCTAAGCTATCTGGGCATATGTTGCATGTCTGTATTTTATGTCATAAATGTAACCTTGTGTATTTTATTGTATTTTACTGTCTTTTTGCTTTCTTGTGTTCAATGGAGTTTTGCCTCTGTCTTTGGAGTAAATTGGATTACTTCACAATTATCTCCAGGATAGAAGATTCTGTGGAACTGGTTTTGGGCAGAAAAGCCATGCTTCCTGTGGTCACAAAGGACTACGATCTATCTTTTGAACCACTGGACCAATTTGTATGATTTTGATGTATGTTTGTATTTGGAGTATGTTGATTCTGAAAATGTAAATGTGAATGTGATGCATACTTTTCAAGTTATGAATAATGTGGAAAAATTTTATTTCTCTGCTTGTGCTAAATTACATTACCCATTGTGTAAGTTAATTGTATCACAGGCAGAGGGGAGGATTTTGTGTGGGAGTGACTGAGTGTATTGTATGTGTTTATTGGTTGTGTTCTAAAACCCTGTGGGTGGTACTAATGTTTAAGAATGTGTACATAAGGACAATAAACCCACAGCTCTGACAGTTCACTGCTTGACCCTCAACACGGAGCTTTGTCTCGTTCTTGGGGGGATTTACTGTATGCTGTTCCAGTTTGACTGCTAGGAGTGTAAACCTATTCGTATGGTTTTTCCTATTCAGCTGTTTACAGCATTCGTATGGTTTCCTGTTCGGCGGATTGGTGTTCTGCAGTAGCTGTGCCTGTGTCTCTGGAAGGGGAAGATCTTCTAAACGGCGGTTTAACCCTTTTATGCTGAAGGTGCCGTTACACTTGTCGTCCAGTATATGTGGAAACAATAAAGTAGAGAGAGATCTTATGGCGTAGAATATCTATACTCTAAGTAGGTGATAAAATAAGTGGTATCCTACTTACAATATGCAGAGTAGACATGTGCCATTCATTTTGTTCCGAATGTCAAGTCGGACAAATTTGGGGCATTTTGGACATTCGGATACTTCAGCGTTGGGGTTGTTTTTTTTGTCTGATTTTTTTTTGTGCTCAAGTTTTTTTTTTTCAAAGTGCGACGGGTATTATGGTTTTTTATTTGCTCTTTTTTGGGGCTGAAAAAAGAAGATTTTAGAAAAAAGAAGACATCAAATGGTAAGTTGCATTTCTTTTTTTACAGGTACTTAGTTATTGTTCCCCTTCACTATTTTTAGGGTGAGGGGGGTAGATAGGGGTTGATTAATTTTTGGGGCCCCCACCTGCCACTCAGGGGTGGGGTCCAGGGGGGAGGACAATAGGTCCCACACCATATTGGTATTTAAGGACCCCTCCAGAGGGGAGGGACAATATTGGTATTTAGGGCCCCCAACCGCTGCTCAGGGGTAGGGGCCAGGGGGGAGGACAATAGGTACCCCTTATTCTAATTTAGGGCCCCAACCCACCACTCAGAGGTGGGGGCCAGGGGGAAGGACAATATTATTGGTATTAGGGCCCCCACCTGCCGCTCCAGGGTGGGGGTCAGGGGGAGGACAATAGGTCCCCCCCTTATTGGTATTTAGGGCTCCCACCCACCGCTCAGGGGTGGGGGCCAGAGGGAGGACAATATTCCCACCTCCTTATTCTAATTTAGGGCCTCCACCCACCGCTGAGAGCACTGTGAATGTTTACATGGTGTGTTCAATAAAAACATGGCAACATTTCATTCTTTGTGTGTTATTAGTTTAAGCAGACTGTGATTGTCTATTGTTGTGACTTAGATGATGATCAGATCACATTTTATGACCAATTTGTGCAGAAATCCATATCATTCCAAAGGGTTCACATACTTTTTCTTGCAACTGTATTATATATAAAGCAATAAAGCGAACAGGCGTATAAACACTTTACGCGTTTCACCTGGCTAGGTTTTCTCAGAAGTGTGTGTAATCCTGTCAAAGTTCTGGTTTATATAGGTAGAGTCTCTGTAATTAGTGTAATCAGGTGTATTAAAATAATTTCCAGGTTGTGTTCTAATTACGGCACCCAGAAGTGTTGTATCGCAGTTATTTGCTCTCTTAGGCTTCTGGGAGATGTAGTCTCTTTGACTGTATTGCCCACTTCATCCAGAAGTGATGTCACCCGAAAGTGATGTATCGTGGTGTTTACCTCATGTGGAACCATAGGAAGTGAGTCACTCCAGTCGCTCGTAGTTGCAATCCCGAGCTCACATGAACTCTAGCGGTGTATATAAGTGTCCATCGATTGTGTGGCTCCGTCCCTATATGATGCGTCACAAATAGTGACGTGTCGGCAGCCTATATCAGACAAGTCCCAGGGGCTCCATCGGCCATTTTACAAAAGCACAGAGTAATGGAAGATAAGTGGACATTTGAATAAATAAGTAATACTCATAGTAATTATACATTAACATCAAATACATAAATACATAAAATAAAACATTTATTTTAAATAGTCTTTGGAATGGATCACACAGGAAACGGTATTATAATAATAAAATCAGAGGTTGAGTATGAATACATATGAGGAAAGGTAAAGGTATACACAAAAATATTTTTTTATATATATTATAGAATGACTAAAGAGGATAAATTACATATGTGCAGAGAAAAATATTTATAAATAAAAAATATATATTTAATTAATGTATTAAAAATTGAATAGTAAAGCAAAAGTGTTTTAAAGCAAATGCTTTTTACAAGAAGTTAAACAAATCAAATTCAGCATTGAGGCCATTGGGATATTTAAATAGTTTACCCATTCCATTTCTTTTTGCCCAATTTTTTTAATATCTCCACCTCTCCAGTGATTAGTAAGTTTTGTAATTCCCATAAATTTAAGGTTGCTAGGATCTTTATTGTGTAGGAGAAAGTGAGAAGACACAAAATGATTTTGAAAATCTATTTTAATGTTTCGGCAATGCTCTCTGATTCTTGTTTTAAGAGGTCTTATTGTTCTTCCTATATATTGGAGGCCACACGAGCACTCCAATAAATATATTACATTCTTACTATTGCATGTTATAGTGTTTTTTAAATTATATATTTTATTGGTTCTGTTTGATTTAAAACTAGATACACATTTCTCAGTTTTCATTTTTTTACATGCCGTGCAGCAGTTACATTTATAAAAACCTTGCTTACTATTAAAAAAGAATATTAATATCAACTGGGTTTGTCTTTTTTGTAAAATGTTTTGTTAGCTGCATTTTTAAAAAGACTAATTTAGGATATTCTGGTATAATGTCTTTTAGGAATTTGTCTTCTTTGAGGAGATGCCAGTTATTTTTAATCACTCTTTTTATTTGCCTATTCTTATTATTGTAGTCTAAAACTAGTATTTTTAATCACCCTTTTTATTTGCCTATTCTTATTATTGTAGTCTAAAACTCTTAATAAGTTAAAATCTTTTTTTATCTTTACCTTCAATATTTTTATTAGTGCCTTAGACTAGCTTGCCCCTATTTAATTGCTGTGTTTCACTGATAAATTTTTCTAGGGTTGTACTCTCATATCCTTTCTCTAAGAATTTGTTTTTAATTTCGCTGGCTTGGCTGTTAAACATCTGTAGGTCAGAGCAGTTCCTCCTAAGTCTTAACAATTGGCTTTTAGGTATGCTGTCCAACCAACTGTTATAGTGACAGCTATCTTTACTTATGAAATTGCTAAAATGTTCTTTTTTAAAGTGCGTTTTAGTGAACATTTTATTATCTTTAATATATATATATCTAAGTCTAAAAATGTAACATTTGTGGTGCTAAAATCTGCTGTCAATATTATTCCTTTCTCATTACTTTTTAAAAAAGTGATAACATCTTGGGCACTGGATATTGGACCATTCCATATTAAAACAGGTCATCTATATACCTGTGATAGGTCACCAGGCTCCCCACCCAGTCATGTCCTGTCCAAACCGCATTCTCTTCCCAATCTGTCATGAAGAGATTGACATAGCTGTACGTCTCATGAATTACAGTTGAATCTGTAATCTGTTGAATCTAATAATTGTAGCTTTTTAGCTATATGTTTTGGTTTCATAGTTTCAATATCTTAGTTTTGGAAGAAAAGCAAACACAGGGTTATTCACTAAAGTTAGAACTGCAAGTAATGCAAAGTGATTAGTGAATTTAAAGTGAATTTTAAAATATAGAAGAATTATAAAAAATATCTAAGACTATTCAGTTTTCAATATGGCTAATCTGAATTTGAAATTCACTTTGAATGGTATTTTGTGTTACGATGTGTAAAAGTTAATTACAATTTCAAAACAAAAAATGGTGCAGGAAATAATTTATGATTGAAAAATATAATTTTAACCCCATAAGGACACCACCTTAATTTGCTGTGCCATTTTTCTGTTTATAGAAAGAGGCATTGAACCAGAAATAATTGTTGTTTAGGATCATTTCAATGCCTTCTATATTGAAAATAATTTGATCTTCGGGCATGGACCCGTCACTCTCCAAAATGTTTTGACATCGAATATTATGTGGGATTGTCGTATATAGTGATTGTACATCACATGCAATTAGTGTG